CTAGGAATTTACCCTAAGAATGCAGCCGCCCAGTTTGAAAAAGACATATGCTCCCCTATGTTTATCACAGCACTATTTCCAAGAAATGGAAGCAGCTGAAGTGTCCATCAGTAGATGAATGGATAAAGAAGATGTGGTACATATACACAATGGAATATTATTCAGCCATGAGAAGAAAACAAATCCTACCATTTGCAACAACATGGATGGAGCTAGAGAGTATTATGTTCAGTGAAATTAGCCAGGTGGAGAAAGACAAGTACCAAATGATTTCACTCATATGTGGAGTATAAGAACAAAGAAAAACCTGAAGGAACAAAACAGCAGAAGAATCACAGAACCCAAGAATGGACTAACAGTTACCAAAGGGAAAGGGACTGGGGAGGATGGGTGGGAAGGGAGGAATAAGGGGGAAAAAGGGGCATTACAATTAGCACACATAATGTAGGGCGGTGCCCCAGGGAAGGCAGTATAGCTCAGAGAAGACAAATAGTGAATCTATAGCATCTTACTATGCTGATGGACAGTGACTGTAATAGCGTATATGGTGGGGACTTGATAATAGGGGAGTCTAGTAATCATAATGCTGCTCATGTAATTGTACATTAATAATTCCAAAATAAAAAATATTTTTAAAAAAGGCTGAATAAATGTTAGCAATAGCAATAATTTAAAAAAACACACACAAAAGGTACCAGAACTCAAGCAGAACCATAGTAAGGCAAAATCAGCAGCCAAATCAGAGGCCCTGGCTATATGGGAAACCCACTGCATTACACTCTACCTCCTGCAAGTATGTTTCCTGGGGGGGGACTCCCCCAGGAATAGGAGTAAGTAAGAATGGGATCAGGGCTGTCCCAGGAGATCAGGGATGCTTGGCTGCCCTGCAAAGGGGTGGAGACCTATCCTGGTCTTTCTGAAACCTGAGCTTGAGGTGGAGGAAAGAGGGAGGAGGGGCTGCAAGGTCCTGAGAGTCCAGGCCTACCCCTAACCCAGCTCCACCTCTGTCTGGGTGCCTCTTCTCTGGGGCTGCTCGGACCGTGCAGGCCACTTCCACTTTCCCTTTGCCTCCTTCTGCCCCTAAGGTCAGGTGAGGACAGGCTGGGTCCACCAGCCAGCTCCATGGACGGGGAATTTATCTCTGCTCACCTTCCAGCTTTGGAAAGAAACAAGAAAGATCGGTTGATTTGCATTTGGGGAATCCTTCTCCCTCCTAAACTTCTGGGGGCAGAAAAAGTGATTTGACCTTGGATTGACTGTAGAAGAAGGGACAGAAAGAGCCCAGAACATTCCCCCAGGTATGAATACTTCTCTTTTAGTGGTGTGTGTGTGTGTGTGTGTGTGTGTGTGTGTGAGAGAGAGAGAGAGAGAGAGAGAGAGAGAAAGAGTATGGTAAGATGGTAAGTTTCCCCTGCTCAGATTTGGAATTATACTTGATCTCCTGGGCCCCTTCTGACTGCTTCATTCTATGATTCTGCAGCTCTAAACTTCAGTCATTCAACAAACATTTCCTGAGCACCCATCCTGTGCCAGATGCTACCATTGAGGTACACAGTCTAGATGGGGAGATAGTAATAATAATCATAGCTACCACATTAAATGGGGGTTAACCCTTCCATAAACTTTAGCTTAGTTAACCCAGCAACAATGGTTAGAGATAAGTGTATTACTAACCCCATTTTACAGATGAGGATAGTGAGGCTTAGCGAAGTGAAGAGACACAGCTACTGGGCGGTGGAGCTGATGCTTCTAACCACTGTGTTATACCGCCTGCCCTCACTATAAAGGGACAGTTCAGGGCAAGAGACATACTAGTGAAGGGTGGAGAGGGTGTGTGAGAGCTTTAGAGAGTCACAGTTCATGGAAGGCAGGGAAAGGATAAGCCTCATTTCCACCAGGGTTCCCAGGGAGTGAGGCCGGTGCAGGCTTGAGGGGCCAGACTTGGAGCTGGAAGTGAGGAGGACACGGTAAGCTTTTGGGCCAGCTGGGACTTCAGGACAGTGGTGGGTAGGATCAGAGGTCCCTCTCTCTCACCTGGGTTGGGGAGCAGGGGATGTGGGGGCCATGAGGATTCCCAGCCAGGTTCCCTGGAAGCTATGTGTCCCATCGCCACATTGTTGGGGCTGACCTGACCTGGGGGACCAGTGTCCAGCAGCCTGAGAGGCAGGGGCAGGCCTGCTCACTGAGGATCTCATCGGCAAAGACTGGACCTCCCCCCCTCCTCACGGCTCTACCTCTCATCTCCCAGCTGTCCCCAGCTCAGGCAGAGGGAGGACAAAAGCTGATTATTCCTCTGGGGCTGTACTGGGCCCCATGAATGGAGTATTGAAAACGCTGTGTCCACGTCCAGATAGGTTTTCATCCTCTCCCTAAGCAGACCTTTTATGTGCCAGGATGCAGGGAGAGACGGGGGATTCCTGCTGGGAGGGGCACCCATGTCCCCAGGCATCTCACTCTCAATAGATCCCAAAGAGAACCAACCATCCTCTAAACCAGTCCCCTATCTCCCTCCAACCATCCAACCACCACCCACACTCCCTGCATCAGACTTCTGCTAAAAATCTGCCAAGAGATGGGGCACGGGGATGCTTCTGGGATGCTGGCTACATGGAGTGAACGTTCACTGAGTCCCACACTTCTGATTTATGCACGTTTGGGTTTGTCTACCTCAATCCAAAATTCAAAAATAAAATCTTCAAGATTTTCCACCCCAAAAAGGCAGAGTATCCCAAACAGCATTTACTCTCTCAGCCCTTCACCATTTTGCTATATTTGTGAGTTATGGGACCTCTCATTCCTTGATTTTTTTTTCAGTTGACTTATTTCTTCTGATTTAAATTAACGTTAAAGGGAAACTTTATATTGCTCTAAACAAATGGGAAATCAGAATCCTCTGTCATAAATAGAAAGTTCTGGGGAAAAAAAAAAAGAAAAGAGTAAATGTCCACCTATCTCCCTCTAAAATTATATGGGCCGCCATTAGCAGTACCAACGCCATGCTTCAGGACCTGTTGCCCTGGAGGAGAAACCTTGGGCCCTTGGCAGAGTCTCAAAGCCTGGCTTGGGTTCAGCCCAGGCAACCCTCCCACCTCCTCCCTTACCACATGCTTTCACACCATCTCTTCTGCAGCCAGACCTAACTCCTCTTCTGTGTCCAGCCTTAACCTTCTCCCAGCTGCTGCTGTGACTCAGAAGGCCAAACCCAAGTGGGAATGTCCCTTCCCCCTGAAGCTCTCATTAGCCCCTTCCAACGGGAAGATGTGACTTGGGATATTTAATTCCAGATGTCCCAGCTGTGAGTTCTCCACGGCCCTTTGAATGGGACCATCTGAAAAGCCATCCACTGGCTGGAGGCAAGAGGAAGCAGAGATGCAAATTGGTTCCACGCTGGATTGGAAGAGCAGGGGGTGGAGGCTGGAAGACAGGAGCACTGCCCCTTTCCTCTTTCCCCCAGCCCTGTCCTTCCTCCTCCTCTTACCACTGGGTGAGTGCTCTCCCTCCCTGCTGATCCCTGACTCTTCCCCCTTCTTGTCCCAGTTTTCCCAGCTGTAAAATTATAGGGGGAGGTGGTTTGTAAATGAGGTGGTTTCTGAAGTTCTTTCTGGCTCTGACATATGCCCAGCGTTGATGAAAGCTAAGGGTTTGAACTGGGGGAGTGAGGGCTCAGGGCTGGAGGTGAGGGTCCAATGCACCCAGAGCATGGGCCGTTAGGGGACACTAGAAACAGGGAAGAAGGGAAAGGAGGTGAGCTCACCAATGGCTGTTGGAAAGGCAGCTGGTAGAATAGACAGAATCAAATGATCCAGGAGCTATCCTAACTTAAGAAAGAAGAAACTGGATCTCAGTTTCTTTGTCTGTAAAATGGATAGACTGGTACATGCCTCAGAGCCTTGTAAGGATTCTATGAGGTAATGTTTGTGAAAGTGTCTGAGAGCTGTAACACCCTGCATATAAGTGAGGGCTATGATAGGGTTTTCAATTTCCCATGCTAGGCCAGCTTCCCTGTTTCCTCCCCACCCCTCAGGCCATGTGCTCAGAATTGCATGGTGCAGTAGGGTGGGCTATCTGGGTTGGAATCCAAGCTCTACCCTTTGTTGCTGTGTGGCTTTGAGCAAGTTGCCTAACCTCAGCAAACCTGAAGTTTCCCTAGCTGCAAAATCCTACTTACCTCCTAAATTGTCCTAATGATGAAGTGAGCCAGGCCACATAGAGCAATGAGCATAGTGCTTGGCATATACATACACGAGAGATGAAGCAGAAGGACTTGCACAGGTAAATCTTTAGGGGAAAATCAATGAATCCCAAAGTCAATTTACACACTTAAGGCAGAGTACCAAGCATCTGCTAAGTAACAGGAATTGGGCAGGGGACCTTGGGGAGACACTGAGATGAGACAGGTATGGCCATATCACCAGGCAGAAGGCCTGCAAAGGGACATGTAGATAGTACCCAGCGAGTCCGAGGAAATAGACAGCTCTTCTAGCTGAGGAATCCAGGAAGGCTTCACAGGGGAGGGGGCACTGAGCTGGGTCTTGAAGGATCTGTGGGGTTATAAGGAGCAGGGTTAGCCAGAACTCTTCAAGCAGGGAAGGCTGCAGGGTTAAAGGCCCGGAGACAAGACTGATGGGAGATTGAGAAGTAAGACTAGGCTGGTCAGAAGATACTGAAGGCTTTGTAGAGAAAGCTCAGGGTCTGAGGCTCCTGCAGGAAACGGGGTCTTTGAGGGATTAGGCAGAGGAGTGAAATGAGCAGATCTTTGTTTCAGGCATATCCTGGAGTGGCCTGTGGATCAATGGCTGTAGCAAGGAAGCCAACTGGGACAGTCAGGGAAAGAGTAGGGCAGGCTGTGGGAAAGCAGGCATAGTGCAGAGGAGGGGGTGATTGTGAGGACCTCATGGGGAGAGGAAGCCAAGGGAGCAGCCGACTCTCTTTCTTACTCTGTTTCAGCCAGTGCTCTGCAGCCCATCCCACTGCGCTTTCCAGGTAGGTGTCCTGCCCCCCCAGGTACTCAGATGTTCATGCAGAAGACCTCAGGGTGTAATGATGAACCAGCCCTCCATTACACTGGATGACCCCCAAGAGATTTCAGTCTCCCCATTTTACAGAAATGGGCAAATAAGGCCCAGAAAGGACTGATCCCAATGCTCCCATGGCTTTATGGTAAGGTGGGCATCCTGTAGGTTGGGCATAGGCATCCTCCTGGTGCCAGCTCACCTTTCTCCACAGAGGTGAGGCTGGTGGGGGGCCCAAGCCGCTGCCGGGGGCGCCTGGAGGTCCTGCATAGTGGCTCTTGGGGCAGTGTCTGCGATGATGATTGGGACGTGGTGGATGCCAACGTGGTGTGTCGTCAGCTGGGCTGTGGCCTGGCACTGCCCGTGCCTCGGCCCCTTACCTTTGGCCAGGGTCAAGGCCCCATCCTGCTGGACAACGTGGAGTGCCAGGGGCAGGAAGCTGCATTGAGCGAGTGTGGCAGCCGAGGCTGGGGTGTTCACAACTGTTTTCATTATGAGGACGTCGCTGTCCTGTGTGATGGTGAGCAGAGGTCTGCAACCTGGGTGGGCAGACTGACTGCAGCAGACAACAGGCGGTAGGCTAGATAAGTGAAGGGCCTTTCTAGCAGTAAGGCTGTTCCATGCAGAAGACCAAGCTAGAGGGTACATGGCATTGGTGCTGGACAGAGCCCCAGCCTGGCTGTGAGGAGCCAGGATTGTGGGTCCCACTGGTGCCTCTGGTTTATTGTGTGACCTTGGCTGAAAGACAACCAGCATCACTCCTTCCTTGCCTGTAGAGCCTGGATTGTCCTGGCAGAGCCTTCTCCCCATTTTTAAAATCAGACAATTGGGTTAAACACTGGCCATGAGGTCCACTTGAAGAGCTGCTGCAGAAATCTCTGAGAGGCTTTGACCTTGAAAGCACTGATTCTAGTTTTCAAGAAAATTGCCTGGAGGGCTCATTAAAACACAGATGGTGGCTCCATCCCAGAGTTTCTGATTCTGCAGGCATAGGGTGGGGCCTGAGAACTGCATTTCTAATCAGTTCTCAAGTAATGTGGTGCTGCTCTAAGAACAGAACTCCTCTAAAGAGAACTCCCTAAAACTACTGCTTTCAGGACTCATGTAGCCTTTCTCTCCTCACACCCTAGGATTCCTAGGCTTTGAACCTTTGTGTGGCTGCAGGCCCTATGGCAGGTCCGATCCCTGCTGCTCATACCTGGGGTATGAGGATGGAGAACAGAAAGATTCAAGCACTCTCCTCCCTTCTACCCTGCTTCCTTCCCAGAATTCTTGCCCATGCAGCCCCCAACAAGGAAAGTGTTAACGAGTAAGGTGCCCCTTACAACTCCCAAGAATGGGAAAGGTAAGTATGGCAATGCGGAGAACCACCTGGGTTTTAGGAAAGGGATCCAGAGAGGAGTCTCCCATACCTACCCTAAATTGTGGGAAGGGAGGGATTACTGACGGTAGAGTTTGGTCATTCCCCCTCCCTACCCTGCCCCCTGCAGCCCCTCAGACTGCTCACAGTCTGGACAGAGGAGTCATTCCTATGGGAAGATTAAAAATAGCACAAAGTTGGAGGAAGTGAGAGGCATGAGGGCAGGAGATGGATCTAATGGGAGAGTCAGACTATGCACAGAAATGCTGATAATGGTGTAGAAGAAAATAAAATGTCCTAAAAGAGGGACAGATTAAAAAGGCATGGAAGTCCAGAGGAGGAAGAGGGGTCCATCCATCAGAGATCAAGGAGGGCTTCCTGGAGGAGAAGTTGTCAATGCACCTGGAGAGTGAGGAGGCTTTCTTCACTGCAGTATTAAATGCGCGAGCAGCATTTAATAGGCTAGGACAGCGAGGACAGGCCCCAGGAGCGCTGCTTTTAGGCAACGTCTAAGCTGATTTGACCTCTGATCCCAACACCACCCTCAGTCTGGGGCTGTCAGGAGGCAGTGCCCCGGGGGTAAGTGGGTGAGCAGTCCTCCTGGGTTTGACGTCCTAGGGCATCTTGCACTGTGGGCCTGTGGAGGGCCTGGGGCTTTGAACTTTCAGAGGGGTTGGGAGGCAGAGCCCTTGGCAGATGCTCTGTGCCCCCGTCACCAGGTGAGGGCAGTGTGCGCCTGGTCGGGGGTATGGGCCCTTGCCAAGGCAGGGTGGAAATCCTGCATGGCGGCCTGTGGGGCACCGTGTGCGACGATGACTGGGGGCTGCCGGACGCCGCCGTCGTTTGCCACCAGCTGGGCTGTGGAGCAGCCCTGGCCGCGACCACCAACGCCTTCTTCGGCTATGGCACGGGGCACATCCTGCTGGACAACGTGCACTGCGAAGGTGGCGAATCCCGCCTGGCTGCCTGCCTGAGCCTGGGCTGGGGCGTGCACAACTGCGGCCACCACGAGGACGCCGGAGCACTCTGCGCAGGTGCGGGCTCCGGGGCGGGGCGGGGCCGCGTCCTGACGGACGCAAGAGGGGACGGTGTGGCCGCTGGGAACATGCTGGGTTGGTAGCTGTCGTGGTGTCCCCAGAGCTCTCCAGGATGGCCATTAGTTGCTTCTAATATCTCAGTACTGCTCTGGAGGTGCCTCAGAAAATCCCAGTACACTTTGGGATAGGCTCCACTGCTGTATAATATTTCAGTATTGCTCCGCCAGTATTCCAGAAATATCTAGCAGTACCCCAATACCACCTCCGGAATTTTCTAGCAATTTCTAAGTACTCTTTGTGGAATCCTTTAAAGTAACAGTGCTCTAGAATTGCCCCAGAGATACTCCAGAATTCTTGCACAGTAGCTCAGGTATGTCTCCAAATTATCTAGCACAGTCCTGTGTAATTGTGATGTTCTTATAATAGCATTTTCCCCCACGTGGCCCTGCTCCCATTTGGAGAGGTTTTCTGGGCAGATTAGGAGTAATAGGGTCAGTAATGTCACTTCACAGATGGACTCCACTCTAAAGATACAAAGTGCTTGTCCATGCCTCACGGCAAACTAGGAGCCATCATTCCCAACTCAGAGATGGGAAAGATGAGGCCCAGTGAGGCAGAGACTTAACCGTGGTCACACACTGAGCCATGGCAAAGCCACAACTAACTAATGCATCATCTAGGGCATGTCCCTTGTCCTTTCTAATATTATTTTATCTGTAAGATGAGGATAATGAGTCTTGTTCTACAAGTCCCTCAAGACTATGCAAGTCCCTCTCGGGTAGGAAATGCCTTCTCTATCTCCCCAACTTGAATATACACTGGGGAGAAATTAAAGCCTGTTTGTAAAAGCCCTTTATAAACTGCGAAGTGTACACCTGTGAATACAGGCAAATTACACCATCAAAGTTGGACAGACAGACCTCCTGGACCCCAGCTGGAGCTAAGCTCTCAGCTCTGGAAGTAAAATCTGTTGTCTTCTCCAGGTAGACCATCCCATCCTACCCTGACAGCCCAAGGCTGACCAGGAACCAGAACTTTGGCCTCTGATCCTGATCCCTTCTCTCCTGCTCTAGTCCTGGGTACCCCAACTCAGGCAGCACTGCCACCCTTGGCCACAAGAGAGGACTCGGCCTGGCACACAGAGCCAGAGAGTAAGGAGCCCAGCTCTCCAGGCAGGAATGGTAGGGGCAAAGTTGATATGGCTCGGAATTAGGAAGGCTGTTCTGGATCCATAGGAAGGGGGCCCTGACTGGCAGGCCAGGGCTTTTGGCCAGATGGTAGAGGTGGGTGAGAGAACAGATGAGCAGATGGAGGAAGGATGAAATCCAGAGCTTTGAAAAGTTCAGCAGGGTGGGAGGAAATAGATTTCTTCAAAGCTCTTCAGTAAAATTTGGGTTGGTGCTGAGGTTGGAAATTGATAGACCTTGTGTGGGGGTTGAGATAAAGGTTGAATGAAGAATAGAAGTACATTTGGATTTGGGGCTGGAACAATCTTTGGAATTGAAATTAGAATAATGCCTGGATATAGGATTCAGTTCATTCCAATAAACGTTTCTGAGGACCCCACGCCACTCAACATGGTGGTACGAGACTGAGGCCGAGTGTGGGATGCAGGTGTGACACAGTTGGCAGATCTCAGTAGGCGTCCCTGTGCCCTGCTGGCCAGAAGACCTACCACTCTCCTTCAAATGCTCTAAATGCCCTGTCTCTGCAGCTACGGGAGTTGGTGCCCTGCCTTCCAAGGAGACAGCACTGTTCACCACAGCTGCCTGGGCCTCAGGGAAGAAAAGTAAGTGACAGAGCAGGGTTCCGTGGGGAGGCTGGAGAGAGTTGGGTCGGGGCTCTACTTGGGAGCCCGCGGCCCCAGTCTAGCCTCTCTGGACGCGGGCCTGTGCGCCCTCAGGTGGTCGGCTGCGGCTAGTGGGCGGCCCGGGCCGGTGCCGAGGCCGCGTGGAGGTGATGTACGCCGGGAGCTGGGGCACCGTGTGCGACGATGACTGGGACTTCGCGGATGCGCGCGTGGCCTGCCGCGAGGCAGGCTGCGGGCCTGCACTGGGCGCCACGGGCCTCGGCCACTTCGGCTACGGCCGCGGCCCGGTGCTTCTGGACAACGTGGGCTGCGCCGGCACAGAAGCCCGCCTGAGCGACTGCTTCCACCTGGGCTGGGGCCAGCACAACTGCGGCCACCACGAGGATGCGGGCGCGCTCTGCTTAGGTGAGGTAGCTCCACGACCGCACAGCTCATTGCTGCGCGGGTGGAGCGGCGTACGGTCGGCGGAATTAGCAGTGCTGCGTTCAGGAGCATACTGCGGCTCGGGCGGGGCAAGGTACCATCTGAGAAACGAGCGGGGCGAACGTACCCACGCACTGCGGCGCGGGCCTTGGCCGCTGCCAAATGGGCGGAGCCGCGCGTACACGCCTTGCGGTACACGCGGGGCGGTGCCTGTTGAGATATGGGCGGAGCCGCGCGTGAGGCCTTTGCCGCGCTGCCTTGTGAACAGGCCGGAAGAGGACTCGCACTCCGCAGAGAGAGACGGAGCCCTGCCAATGATGTGCTCTGCGGCTGCGCGGCATGGGCGGGGCAGGAAAGGGAGCGCCCTCTGCAATGAGAAAGTGGGGCGGGGCCTGGGGAATAGCTGCGGCAGTGAGGGCGGGGCCAGGTGGGAAGCCGAACCTCGGGTTGGTCTGGAAGTCTGTGTAAAGGGTGGGGCAGGGCGCTTTCTCTTCTCCGCTGAGTCAAGGACTCTGAAAGTTCCAGTAAGCAAAGTTGATCACTTTTGGGGAGTAAGCGTCTGATTTGGAGGAATCAATGGAAAGAGGTATTTGCAGAATCTGAAACAAATGCTTCTGTTCATCGATTGGTGTGGGAATATTTTTCACCCCTGTTTAGCGCCTCGGGCCTAGTAGCCTTGGCCACAAAGGGCTAGACTACAGAGGCTTCTGTTCTGGGTCCTGGAGTGAAAGAAATACTGTCTCCATTTCTGATATAAGTGGCCAGAAACAGTTCACCCTAAGTGTCCTGTGAAGTTTTTTCTGTCCCTCGATAAGGCGTCCCTCGATAAGGCTTCCCTGCGGAGTGAGGGGGTGGGGTGTAGGAAGTGACCTGGCCTCAAGAAACATGTTCCCCAATGCGATAGCACCTCTTTAAATTTGTACTCCTGAACCAGGCCCAGAGGAGCTAGGACTGCAAGTCCAGCAGGACGGTTCTGAGACCACACAGGTCCCGACTCCTCGGCCCAGGGATGGTAGGTGCCCACAGCTCCCAAAAGGGAGGTAGAGTTACCAGGAGAGGAAGGGCCAGAATTGGGGGAGGTCACATCCTGGGGTTACATAACTCAGCAGATTTTTACCAGGCCCTGGAACCTTTGTCCTTTTGTGCTAGTCTCAGGTCCATTAATAGGGGTATGGTGTTCAGAAAGAGGGATATGGGTTTTAAACTACAGCAGTGTAGAGAGTTCTAGAGATGGGATCAAAGTGAGGGGATGGGGCCCCTGTCCTGAGGAGAGAAATGCAAGTATTCACTCTTTAGTCCGGGAAGTGCAGGGGCGAGGGGAGACCACGGCCTTCAGAGGACACAGTCATAGTCTCCAGTAGCACTGGGGCTGTGGTTCTGGGGTTATGAACAGAGGACCAAGGAGAGAGCAGACATGAATCACATGTCTGCACATAGCACCCTGCAAAGGGTTTTGCACATTCTCCCAGTCTGGAGAGTGAGTCTGGACTGTTGCCCATCCTATTTTAATCTCATTTGTCTGCCCTCTTCCAGAGGCTCCCAGGGCAGTGGCTCTTAGGCACTGCTCTTTGCCGCCTCTGTCTACTCAGTCCCTAGCCTTGCTTGGGAGTGGCCTGGCATGGGCCAGTTCCTTCTAGCCTTGGGCCTTGTTCCCTAACAGGGCACCTACGTCTGGCCAGTGGAGCCCACAGATGCGAGGGGCGAGTAGAGCTCTTCCTAGGACAGCGGTGGGGCACTGTGTGCGATGACGCTTGGGATCTTCGGGCAGCCACTGTCCTGTGCCGCCAGCTGGGCTGTGGCCAGGCCCTGGCAGCCCCTGGTGAAGCCCACTTTGGCCCAGGTCAAGGCCCTATCCTCCTGGACAATGTCAAGTGCCATGGGGATGAGAGTGCCCTTCTGCTCTGTTCTCATATCCGCTGGGATGCCCACAACTGTGACCACAGTGAGGATGCCAGTGTCCTGTGCCGGCCATCATGACCCAGCCTGCTTTGCACACCATCTCTTCTGGGAATATACTGTGGCCTTCCCCCTTTCTCCAGGAAGCCCTCCTCTGACAACCACAGTTCACTCTCCCCTACCCTCTTGCCTGGGAGAGAACCTGCTCAGACAGTGTGGTCCTGTATGGGGGGGGTCTGTCTGGCTTTACCCCATCAACTGATTGTGTGACTTCACCTGGCATCAACTATTGTGGACCCAATTCAATGACAGCTCCCCTTCTGCTCAACCACAATAGAAAACGGGGAGGGGAAGAGTGACTCCTAACTCTTCTCTTTGGCAGGGGCCACTGTTACCTGCCTTCCTGGACCCTTGTCCAGGAGGTTCAGGAGCTCTCTGTAAATAAGGTATCTCCCTTCCCCTACCCATCTTGGGATCCCCAAGAAGAGGGAAAGCAGAAAAGGCCTACAGCTCTTACCTTAGACTGCCTGGACCTGCAGAAGAACCTGGGTCATTGCCCTGGCCTTCTCTATGAGGGCCCAGACTCAGATGGTGCTTGGTTGGACAGGGGGACTGGAGGGGCCAAAGCAGGGACAGTGGCCCCTCCTTGCAGCTGGGACCAGCATCTCTGATTTGTGCTGCCCCACCACAGAGCCTCCACTTTGCAATAGCAAAGAACCCAGGGGGCCTATAGCCACCTGTTCATAGGTGCCAAGTCAATAAAGCATTTCCCTCCCTGTCTTTTAACTGAGGTCAGTATTTGTGCATGGGTGTGTTGTTTGTGGCATCAGGAAAGACTGGTTGGGACTCTGGAGGAAGCTAGCCTGGGGATGGAGGACGGTTCAAGAGCATAATCAGAGGACTCTCAGCAGGCCCATCACATCCTGGAAATGCTGACTCACAGTGTCAGGAAGGTCCCTAAAGGATCCCTTAGCCCATCCCCACTTCTTTTTTGCATATGGAGAAATATAGGTCCTGCAAAAGGAAGGGGTCTGCTCAAGGTTACATAGCAAGCTGGTAGTCATTAGAAAAAAATCAAGAGGCAGAAAGGGAGATGAGCGAGAGCATAACAGCATTGGGGCTTCCCTAGGTGCTGTTCTTGGGGCCCCTCACCTGGAGTTTAAGGATTAGAGAGAAGTAGGGGATCCTGCCAGAGCCTCTCTCAGCTCCAGTGGGGTGACTTGCCTGGAGCAACGGTCCAGGTAAAGCCAATGCCCTCCAGGTCCAGTCTACAAGCTCCATGTTAGTCTCCCATAGATGCTGTACCAAATTACCACAAACTTAGTGGCTTAAAACAACACACATTATTATCCTACAGGTCTTGAGGTCATTAGTCTGAAATGGGTCTCCCTGGGTTAAGTTCAGGGTGTTGGCCAGGTGGTGTTCTTTCTGGAGGATCTTGGGGAGAGTCCTTTTCCTTACCTCTTCCAGTGTCATTTAGAGCCTGCTGCATTCCATGTCTGCTTATGATCTTCCAGCCAGCACTTGCATCACTCTGACCACTGCTTCCATGATCACATCTTTTCTGAATCTTCTGCCTCCTTCTTCCATCCTTTAAGGCCCCTTGTGATTATATGGGACCTACCTGGATAAATCCAGGAGAATCTCCCCATCTCAAGGTCCTTAACTTAATCCCATCCGCAAAATTCCTTCAGCCAGGTAAGGTAACACATTCACCAGCCCTGGGGATTAGGACATGGACATCTTTGCAGGGGCATTATTCTCCCTCCCACAGGCTCCAAAACCTGGGTCCTGGCTCCCAGCCGAGGAGGGAAGCAGATACTTAAGCTCCAAATTCCATCAGCTCTTGGCAGTAATGGCTTTATCTCTATTTGTCAGGGAGCCCTCTGAGAGCCACTGTACCATTGGAGGGAGGAGGACTGGAGGAGTGAAAGGAATGAAAGTGCTTAAGGATTGAGGGAGTCAGGCAGAGGGGCAGGAGTGCTCCAGCCACCCTGCAGCCCCCAGATCTCAGTGCTTGCCACGGACACAGCCACTCCGGTCACACCATATCTGAGTGTGCCTCTCCATTGTCCCAAGAAGAATCACAGCTTCCCGCTCCTGGACCATCCTTGCCTACTAAACAAAGTGCTTAATCAACACTGTCAGTTAACAATCATTGCAGTCCTTTGATGAAGTACTATTGTCCCTTTTTACAGACAAGGCAAAGTGAGGCTCAGCGAGGGGAAATGACTCATCCAGGTTTGCACAGTGGACCCAGGACTAGGACCTAAGATCCCTGATGGCCCATTAGCACTGGTGTCCAACATGTCCAGTTCTCCCCTTCCTGTACTTGGTGGCTTTGCCCTTCCCTGTCCTCTGGCAGTGAGACAAGGCCCTATGAAGTGCTTTGGCCAATGAAATGGGAGAGGAAGTATCCCCCCATGCAGAAGCTTTCAAGGGCCTGAGTGCAATTTACCAAGTTCCCTTCCTTCAAGGTGGCCAGTGACCTTCCAGGTGATGGAGGCTCCATCAACCTGTGTCCCTGAGTGAGGGACAAGCCTCCACTGAACTCAAGATAAACATAGAGGGTGAGTGAGAAGTAAATCTTTGTCGTTGAAAAACACTACTGTGATCAGTGTTGTTAATCAGAGCAGCCTAACCTTGCCCATCCTGACAGGCACTCGGGCTCCTAAATTTTTCTCTGTCCTTTCAAGTTTACCTGAAACCTGTTTTCTGCCTGTTATCAAGCCTGGCTTCATTCATTGTTTTCTGTGGTTCTGTGCACACTTCGGTGTTCTGTGGACCAGGACCTATTGGGATTGGGGGCACAGAGATACATAACAGAGGCTTTTTGCCCTTGAGAAGCTCCCAGAATGATCCCATGCTGACTTGAGTGCCCTGGGCTCTCCTGAATCAGCCTGTCTCACTCAAAACATTGTAACCTACATGTACATCTGGGTTTCCCTGTTAAGTAGAGCTACCAATCACTAGCTTAAGCTAGACACCTGGGTGTTATCCCCCACAAATTCTATCACTAAATCCTATTGATTGTATCTCACAAACCTTGCTGGCATCTGTCCACCTCTCTTCATTCCCGCATTTCTTACCATGGCTTCTTCAGTGTCTCCCTGTCTCCAGTCAGTTTCCCCATACCACAAGAACAGGGAGCTGTCTGACATGATGGTGAACTTTACAAATCCGATGGTGCCTCTCCCCTGCTTAGACCCCTTCCTCGGCTCCCCAGTACTCTTCCTCTACATGTTAGCTCAGTGTGCAAGGTCCTGCACAGCCTGGCTCTGCCTGTGTTTTCAGCAGTGTCTCTTGCCACTTGCTGCCAGGATGTCTCCAGGCTGAACTACTTTCAATTCCTCTAATGTCTCTGGGCTTGCTTCCCACCGGGCATCTGCACATGCTGTTCTCTGCCTGGAATACGAGTCACCCTCTCCCCTCCTTCCCTTTCATCCACTCTTATTTATCCTTTCGTCTCAGCTTTCATTTTCTCCAGAAGGACTTCACTGATACTACCCTCTTCCAGTCTGGACTAGGAGCCCACATTGCACCCTATACCTCCCCAGTGACAAGAACTTACCCCTGTATCTCAATGGACAGCTGACTTGACTGTGTCCTCCTCTAGCCCAGGGGCCTTTGAGGCCTGGGTGTGGGTCTGTTGTACCCAACTTTGCGGCCAGGACCTCACACAGTAGGTGCTCACATATTTGATGAGTGGATGGAGGACATGAACAAATATTTCTGGAGCACCTGTGTGCTAAGCTAAGCACCATCCTGGTCTCTGGGGCTGCAGATCAAGAAGAGACCTGAACCAGGTTCCTGTTTGCATAGCACAGAGATTACCTTCAGGAAGAGGAGACCAATCATAAGCCACTGAATAAATCAATAGCCAAGAGAATTTTAACTGGTGATTAGTGCTATAAAGAACATAGAGCAGGGTGTCATGGTAGGGGATGGGTGGTCAGGGAAGGCCTCTGAGCTGGGCCTGAATAGTGAGAGGGAGCTGTCTCTGAACCTTTTGGCAATGAAAAGGTTTGGGTGAGACCATTCCAAGTCGACCAGTGGGGATTTAGCCTGTCCTGCAGAAGGGCCAGAGAGAAGAGCACTGGGATTAAAGCAAAGAGGAATGTGCTAAGGGAAAGTCAGAGAAGTTGGGAAGGGCCAGGCCACTCAGAGCTTTCTACACCAAAGGGAGGAGTTTTATTCCACGGGCAATGAAAATCCACTGGACAATGAGTGATATAGGCCCCCCAGATGTCAGTCTCCTGACTATCTCCCACCTCTTTCGACTGGCTGAGTGCCCTTTGCTTCTGAAGATTTTATTTAAAGGACCCAGCTGGGTATCTCCTATTAGGTAGGGTACCTAGCATCCCTACCAAAAAACCTCAGGAATTCCTTGGGAGTTTAGATTCAGCTAAGCACCCCTGACTTTTGCAGATTTCTGGATTTCCCATCTGCTTTGCCTCCTCTGTGATTCTCCTTTTTCCTGTTCACTGAAGCCCTTTTCCCTGAAGTTCCACCAATCCAGGCTGTGCATGTAGCACACTTGGCTGATGATTTGGAGCAAGGGCCCAAGGAATACTGACAATGACAAATTAGATTTTAAAAAGCCCTTGTATATTCTACATTCCACCACCACACATACACATTCCCAGATAATTTTTACTGATTTTCTCCACTTTAGCCCTAATGTCCTACCGCAGTGCTGGGACTTTTCCTTTCCCCTACCACCAACTTCCTTCTCCCTGTTTGTAAGCCCTCTGACTCTCCCTTTTTTTTGCTCCTTGCTTTTTTTTTAAACTAACACCTTCATTGAGATATAATTCACAGACCATAAAGTTCACCCTTTTAAAATGTACAGTCCAGTGACTTTTAGTATATACACAGGGTTGTGCAACCATCACCACTAATTCCAGAACATTTTATCATATCCACTCTCCCCCCAAAAAAGTTATACCCATTAGCAGTCACTCCCCATTTCCCTCCCCCAGCACCATCAACCACTAATCTATTTTGTCTCCGGATTTGCTTACTCTAGACATTTCACAGAATGTAATCATGCAGTATATAGCCTTTTGTGTATGGTTTCTATCACTTAGAATAATGTTTTCAAGCTTCAACTGCATTATAAGATGTATCAGTACTTCATTTCTTTTTTTTTTTATGTTTACTAGGCTCTCCCCTACCCCAAGTCCCCCCTACAAACCCCATTACAGTCACTGTCCATCAGCATAGTAAGATGTTGTAGAATCACTACTTGTCTTCTCTGTGTTGCAAAGCCCTCCCCTTTCCCCCACCCCCATTATACATGCTAATCATAATATCCCCTTTCTTCTTCCCCGCCCTTATCCCTCCCTACCCTCCCATTCTCCCCAGTCATTTCTTTTTATAGTGAAAAAATATCCCTTTGTATTGATTAAATTGTGTTTATCCATTCATCTGTTGATGGACTCTTAGGCTGTCTCCACCTTTTGGCTATGATGAGTAATACTGCTGTGAACAATTGTGTACAAGTGTCTGAGAACCTGTTTCCAATTCTCTTGGGTTTTTACACCTAGGCGTGGAAGTGCTGGGTCATAGGACAATTCTTTTTTTTTTGAGCAACTGCCGAACTGTTTTCCACATTGGTTGCACCATTTTACATTCCCACCTGCAATGCACAACAATTCCAACCCTCCACACCTTGCTAACTTTTGCTATTCCCTCCCTCTTTAAAACAAAAACAAACAAAAAACCCTAGCTATCCTAGTGGGTATGAGGTGGTATCTCCCGGTTACG